CAACATAGCCACCTGCCAATACAACAGCTAAATGCTCACTATTTTGAAAAAGGTACATCAACGTAAAACATTAAGATTTAAATGCCTATCAATGATCCCTAGTCCACTGGATGCTTTTTTCAAGGCATTATGCTCAAATGATAGAAACTGGATATCTATTTGTTTTACTTATTATGGCATCCTCATACTTAGTACCTTACTTGTTTAACATGTTTTAGTTTGGAAAAGGTATTTGTGAACATCATCTCCGTTGATTCTGGAAAAAGCATCTTGTAGTAGGACTAATTTCTCTACTTTTTTCATTAAGTAATGCTGATAGAAGAGAGTTCAAAATACTGGGTTTGCCACTCAAAGCTCTGATACATTAGGGAAGTCACTCTTGAGCTTCAGTTTCCTCATTGGCAAGTGGGGATGATACTTACCTCACAAGATTGTGTGAAAAAATGAAAGAACATATGTGAAAGCACCTAGCACATCAGACACAATAAGGGACTGAGAAATCAGTTCCCTTCCCCCTCACCATTTATTGGGTTGGCCAAAAAGTGCCTTTGGTTTTTAAGTAAAAATAAAAGACATTTTCACCAAGAACTTTATTGAACATCATATTCACCCTTTTGTTCCACTACCTTCTGCCATTTTTCAGGCAACTTCATACTTTCATCTTCCCAAAACTTTTTTTGAGCAAAGAACTGTTCCAGGTACCTTTTACAGTCTAACAGGGAATGGAAATTTCCATTAAGAGAATTTTGTGAAGACTGAAATAAATGGAAATCCAAAGGTGCAATGTCTAGTGAATACGGTGGATGAATCAGAACTTCCCAGCCAAGCTGGGAAGCCACCACCCCTTCTTTCTAATTTTTCAAACTGCAAGAGTTGACCATCGTTCTTTGCAGGATGCCAAAAATCCTGGAGGACCCACCTGCCATATTCTGGGAGTGTTGCCAGAAGTCGACCTTGAACTCTAGATCAGTACTTAAAGATTGAACACTTGGACAGAAAAGGCTATCTAGAAATTCCTGCCTGTGTCTTGTGTTTGACTGATTAAGAGGCAGTAGGCCAGAGAATGTATCCGTAGTGAGAGAGTATCCAAGTTGGCTTAAAGATCTGTTTTTATCTCCAACTATTATAATTAAATCCCATGAACAATTATAGTTTTTTGATTCTCTCCTCCCTACCCTGACTTTTTCTTTGCATTTTCGTCTCCTTTCCTTAGGTATAAACCATTTCATACTTACTCAAAGCCATTCCTCCATATCCATTTTAATAAAAAAAGACCTGCTATGTCTAGTAGAAAGGACTCCAGCATTAAGTCAGGGATCTAGGTGGGAGCTAATGTGGTCCCAAATGGGTAGAAATCCCTGGCTGATATTAGAATTTTAAAAACAATATTTAAAAATAATCTCTAGAGAATAGCATTCCCTTTTAAGCCCCTGCACTGACAGAGTTATGGAATAGAAAGTCATAGAGAAGATACCTTAATCTTCAATAAATAGCCTCCTAAGAAGTGACCTAAAATCCTACCTCATAATGTATGATAAAATTTTACTAGCTGAGTTTATTTGTGGTTGGCAAGTATTCTGGTTCCATGGTTATATTAACATTATTTCCCGGTTTTCAGAGTATTATGTATTATGTATTTATGGTAGGAAATTTGGGAAATGTAAAAAAGCTTAAGGAATAATGGTTACTCTTAATATCTGTCAACTCTAATCCCATATGCATGATTTTTATCCTCTCACACCCCCCAGGAAACCACAATAGAGCATAAGTAGTTAATAAGACACTTAGTGGCAGATCATGCTCAGATCAAATAAATATATAAAATATTTATTTTAGAAATTAAGTTATTAAAAATTAAATACATTATTTTAAAAATCACCAGAGACATAAGCAACCACAAATAAGAGCTGGCAGAAAAAACAACAGATAAGAGTCCTAATGATTTAGGTTTTGGAATGATCATATACAGAGTATAAAATGAATATCTATAAAATTTTAAATATAAAAGATGAAATCACAAAATTGAACAAGTAATAAGAGACTAACAAAAATGAAAAGAGTGACTTCAAAAAGAACCTAAAGATATATTTTAGAAATTAAAAATAGAAATGCTGAAATTAAAATTCAATGGATAGGGCTCCCCTGGTGGCTCAGTGGTTAAGAATCTGCCTGCCAATGCAGGCGACACAGGTTCGAGCCCTGGTCCAGGAAGATCCCACATGCCACGGAGCAACTAAGCCCGTGTGCAACAACTACTGAGCCTGCATGCCACAACTACTGAAGCCCGTGCACCTAGAGCCTGTGCTCCGCAACAAGAGAAGCCACTGCAACGAGAAGCCTGCACACTGCAACGAAGAGTAGCCCCCACTTGCCACAACTAGAGAAAGCCCATGTGCATCAACAAAGACCCAATGCAGCCAAAAATAAATAAAATAAATTTATAAAAAAAAATTCAATGAATAATGTCTCATAAATTGCTGGTGCAACGTAAGTTGGTACAACCCCTTTGAATAGCATTCTGGCATGGCCCTTTAAAATCAAAGATTTTGCATCCTCTATGACCCAGCAATTCCATTCCTATAGAAATGTGACTGCACAGGAATGAAAATGAATAAAACAGAGCTACAAGAAATAATTTCAATGAATATTTATTTATTTATAGCCACACCACGTGGCATGTTGGATCTTAGTTCCTTGAGCAGGGATCGAACCCACGCCCCTTGCATGGGAAGCGTGGAGTATTAAGCACTGGACCGCCAGGGAAATCCTCTATGAATTTTATAAACATAATTTTGAGCAAAAGAAGTAAGACACAAAAGAATATAGCAATACAATTCCAGTTTTCAAAAGCAAACTATACTGATTAAATCTATATACATAAAGTGATTTTAAAAAGTATAAAACAAAGAAATGATTGCTACAAAAGTCTAGCAAGTATTTACTGCTGAGGAGTGCAAAGAGGTATGATTAAGGGGCACACAGCCATTTCTTGGCTTGGAAGATGATACATGTGTGCTTGCGATATAATTTTTCATTATATTATACATTTATGTTTTATGTTCTTTTCTGTATGTTCAGTAAATTTCACACTAAAAACACTTTAAAAACTCAATAACTAGGTTAAATAGCATATTAAACACAGCTGAAGAGGGAATTAGTGAAGTGGAAAATAAAACTTAAAAAATTATCTAGTATGTAGTAAAGAGACAGCCCTTTAAAGATGTAAAAAGAAGTTAAGATATGTTGGGGGAAATGAGAAGATCTTACATCACAGCCTCAGAAAGAATGAGCAGATAGAATGGAGGTGAGGCAATATGCTACAATATGACTGAGAATTTTGCAGACACATAGTAGTAAAATTGCAGTTAACTTAGGAAAAAGAGAAGATTGTAAAAGCAGCCAGAGAGAAAAGACATATCATCTATAAAAGAACACAGCTGACAGCTCTTATGAGAGATATTTAGAAATGAAGTATTCTAAATTCCTTATGTTATTCATGAGAAATATTAAGATACAGATTAGATGAGATTGTGTTAAATTAGGTATCACAGTAAGGTTTAAAGAATAGCAAAGAATAAAATTAGAGTGTATAAGTTACTAAACAGTTGAGAGAATAAAATAAAATAAAGTAAAAGCAAACAAAACAGGAATGATTTTAGCAGCAAAAACCATGCAAGCTGGCTTTGTAAAGTTTCCCACAGTGCTGTGGCCATAGGCACCCAGACACCTGCCCTCCCCACCACAAACCACTGCCAAAGTAGCTCAAGGTGAAGATCAATTTAGCTGAAGGGACAGTAAAAGAAGAGCTCTAGAGGAGACTGGCAAGATTTTCAGCTAAACTAATTCTTGCAGACATTGAAACCAAACTCAAAAGGGCAGTGAGAAAGAATAAATCATCTGCCAAAAAATTACAAATGAAAAAAGAGAGCAAAAGGGAAACAGGCTGAAATGTCTATCCAGGAAACTAAAGACAAATAACCTGCAGACGTTGAAGAAAGTAGAAATGAGGAGAGTTAGCAGGAGAGAGAGACGTCAGTCTGATTAATATCATTTACCAAGTCTTGGTGGTTTCTGTGTCCTTTTTACAATCCAGAAAAATATTTTTATCACCTACTTTGTAAATGCAAGTTTTTAAAAAATAGCTCTAAAATCACATGTTTGGAAGGAATGAATACCACCACATCCAATTGTGTGTGCATGTACATACTTTTTTTAAAAGAAAAATTCACATGCTGTCTATTCTTTTTTTTTTGTACAACCAAAACATGTGGGGATATTTATTTGAGAGGTTTTGACTGTCTTGATAAGGAGGGCAGTTTTCACATCCTATACCTTGAAGTATAACTAAAAGGCAATTTGGAGTCACAGTTATTCATTTAATATGCCTGAAATATTTCAAACTATTTAATGTCTGTCTCCAAGCCATTTTATAGATATAGTGAGGGAGAGAGAGAATTGCTTCTAAAGAAAACTGCTCCCTAATCTTGGCCTACATGACTTTTTAGATTTTTGGTACTTAAATTTAAAGATTTGTTTACAGATTATTCATAATATCTGAACATGATTTAATAAAATCACAACTATGAAAGAAAAATGAAGAATTATTAAATTGTTAAATGACAATTTAAACACAAAACATAAAAAGAAAAACATGAAATAACCCAAATGCCATTAACAGGAGAACGAATAGAAAACTTCTGATATATTGTACTAATGCAATGCTATACAGTGGCAAAAATACAAACATAATAATGTGCAAAACATTTATAAATTTCGGGGCTTCCCTGGTGGCGCAGTGGGTGAGAGTCCGCCTGCCGATTCAGGGGACACGGGTTCGTGCCCCGGTCCGGGAAGATCCCACATGCCGCGGAGCGGCTGGGCCCGTGAGCCATGGCCGCTGAGCCTGCGCGTCCGGAGCCTGTGGTCCGCAACGGGAGAGGCCACAACAGTGAGAAGCCCGCGTACCGCAAAAATAAAAAAATAAAAATAAAAAAAAAACATTTATAAATTTTAGAAAATAATTATACTGTTCAGTGAGAAAAAAACCAAATAGCTGGCATGTCCATGCTGCATTATACCATTTAAAAAATGAAGCTCAAAAGCAAGTAAATGAAACAATGTTTTGGTTAAGAACAACATACATAAGTGGTAAACAAATTTTTTTAAAAGAACATAACAAAGCACTAAAAATTTGTGATAGTGGTTACCTTTTTTGGTAAGATAGGGAGATGGTGTAGGTAGATCATGAATATTTGTAATGTTCTTATTTTGGTAAGTGACTTTTATTACACTGTAATATACCTACATATTGTATATATAGCCTTTCGTGTGTATCAAATATAATATTTTTTCAGAGAGAGAATCATTGCCAACTTCCTGTGAATTTTGATCAGTATTTCTATCATCCTTCTGCATCACTTGCCAGAATTCAAATCAATTATAGTTGAGACCCTGAAGGAAACATTTTCTCCTGAGTAGGAGAAATCTAATAGTTGCCTTCTTTTATTGTAAGCTTTTAATTTCTCTAATGTCTGGTTAACCCCCAAATATAAACCACAATTAATGCAGCAATTCTGCAAAGTATCTGAACAAATACAAAAATATGAAAATATCTTATCTCTTTGTAATTTTTTTTTAGAGTTGGCAAATAATTTTGTGTGGAATTACCTACAGTCATAGTGGGCAAATGAGTGAGGGTATTTTCATCCTGTAGAGTAAGGAGACAAAATAGCCATACCTCCTGGTTGTCTAGTTTGGACTCCGATAGTATTGAAATATAGATTTCATTTTTTTCCTGATGAAAAACATTATGAAGTGAAAAAACACATCTAAAAGAAGTTATGCTTTTGTCTGACTACCGCAAAAAAAAAAAAAGGCTGTTTTGTAATGAAAACAATGAAAAGACATTCTTAAAATGGAAAACGTCAGCTGTGGGTTTGCAACAGTTTCAAGAATGCATCTATTGGGTCCTAAGGAAGGAAGAGGCGCCAAAAGCAACAACTTGAGTAAGGTTATCGAGAACCCACATGTGTCATACAGATGGAGGAGTCTGGTGCACTTTAAGAAGCCCACCACTGCAAGGTGAAGGTAATTTCAAAATTAATTCACCTAGCTACGCAGATGTCTTATTCTCTTGCTCCTATTGTAGTGATCAAGATTTCAGGAATGCATTTCCTCGAAGATGCCCACTTGTAGGAAGGGACATTCACTTTATGCTCTTTTAAATATTTATGTTAGTATTCACTCCCCGGCCCCCCCCCCAAATACCTGTACAAAACAAAAGATTAGAACTGGGAGGAAAGGAGGGAGAAGAGTAACAACAAAAAGGAGAGTGAGTTTGGGAGCAACCTCTCTAAGGTTACAGACTCTGCTCCATGTTTGTAGTCTTGGAGCTCCTTGCTATAATGTGAAGCAGAGTAAGTAAGCAACAAAAATATGGGCCCCCTGTGAAAGTGGCTGTTCTGTGTCCCTCATGTTCTTCTAGGAGAGGCTGAGCGACCATGTATTTGTATATTACACTAGGAAAGTGTTGTATACAAATCCAGCAGTTCAGGAAAATTTATTTCAATATTTCTGGAAATAAAGTTTCACACTTATTACTACTTAATGTGCATCAAGTTGAGACAGGAGGAAAGGGGGCAGGGCACAACCTTTAAAAGAATGACACAGCTGTTGAGGATACAATATAAACTAGTTAGAACCAATTAGGCCCAAGATGGTGGAAGATTCAAATTCTAGTAGACCTTGAAGCTCATTGTAATACATTAGCATGCTAAATAACACACCCACAGGCACCAAGACAGTTCTGAGGCAGACCATGAAAGGCCAAAAAGTGGGTGGCGGCCCAAGTCCTGGAAATCCCTGCCCCTTCTTCAAAATAGTTAGAATATTCCTCCTACTCATTCGTGTATGGAATTACTCAGCCCATAAAACTAACCACACCCTCAGCCCAGGGCTGCTCTCGACTTCTGAGACGACTGCATTCTGCCTGTGGAATGTGTATCTCTCTAAATTTGCTTTCACTTTACCGTGGCTTGCTCTTGGATTCTTTCCTAAAGGAGGCCAAGGACCCTCACTTGGTGGCCTGCCCCATGGACTCACTCGCCTAAAACCTGGGACATGACCATCTTCTTGAGCCCCCCATTTTCCTGCAACAAAGTGGTAGTCAAATGGTAGTGTTCACACAATACTATATTTTACAGAGATACTGGTTTGCCACTGAGTGGTTCAAATGAACATTAACAAAATTGTGGCTGTCTAGTTATTTCAGAAAGTCTTAAAAATTCTAATGGAAATGTAACTTCTTGATAGTTTCTTCTTTTCTATTTTACTGTATTTAACGAAGAGGTTTGGTTCTCCGAGTAGGCATTTACTGTAAAAGGATGCATACTTTGCTGAGTCACCTTCCTTACTGTTACTGACCTGGTTTCTTGGACTCTTTAATCACTAGAAATTGATACGAGACCAGACAAGGAATTCACGCAAGACTTTATAAGGACTACCGCTGCAGCACGAGGGAGTGAAAACAAGCAACAGGTTCACTTGCTCAGTCCCTGAGGCGGGGTAAGCTGGTTCCTTAAATGGGGTGAGGGTAGAGGCTGATCTGCGGGTGGGGCCCGAGGCGTGGCTTAGGTGGTCTGACCACCCTCTTGGTGGTGCTGTGTGCCGGGATCACGGCAGTACCCTGCTTTTGCTCCTGGCACCTCAGAAGTAGCAGCTGGGTTTTGGCCTTTTGTATCCTATTGTTCAGAACTGTCCCGACTGTGCATGTGTGTGGATATCTTTAGTCCTGTATAGTTTCTTTGTATTCTGTTGCTCAAGGAGACATTTGTCCAGGTGCAAGGACGGAGGAAAGGGTCTCTGGTTCCAGGTCCCAGCCTGTCTCATTATTATCTCACAGCGTTTCTTGTTTTAAATCCTTACATTCTTTCTCAAATTTATTTTGCTTCACATGATTACACATTTCTTCAAAAACTGAAAATTAACGCATCTAGAGCCCAGAATAACTGCATTGGTTTATAACTTTGTGACCAGAAATCTGCAATTCTTGGTACTTCTATTTTCACAGTAACATTAGGGTTGGATAGGTAGTTTTATTTTTTCTCACTCAAGTTCTTCAGGATTTAAGTGGTAGAGAAGAAGAAATGTAATTCTCAATTCAATGCAATCATTGTTTTTGTTATACTTGAAAACACTTTTGTTGTTCAGAGTTAAAACAAAACATGAACCCAAATTACCTGTATTCCTAACTTAACTCTCCTTTACTCAAATACCAGCAGTGTCTGCAGCCAGACAAAAGTAGAGAACACTTGATGGAGGGAAGCTAGAATGGAAGGAGACACTGGTTCATTGTCATTAAAATATTTTATCTTGGGAAATTTTACAAAAACATATTTTCACAGAAACACATTGTTAGGGCCCTTCCTAGGGCCATAGAAGAAGCCGGTGCAGATGAGAAGCCCTGAAATGTAAGCTTTATTAGCTTCATGATAAATCCTCCTCTGCTTGAACTTCTATGTCCTTCTAGCTCCTGTCCCTTTTCTTCTCTTCCCTTTATAGCAATACTCCTTGAAGTGAACTGGCAATGCTGCTGTCTCTGCTTACTCTCTTCTGTTTTGTTCAGGATCCCATCATTCCTCTAAAACTGTTACTGAGCTCACTCTGCTCGCTGCACGACCGACAGGCCAATAAACCGGGAGACGAACTGTTGCGGCAAGGAATAATGACTTTAATCAGAAAGCTAGCAGATCAAGAAGATGGCAGACTAGAGTCCACCCCAACAAAATCTTCCCTCAGTCCCAATTCGGGCTCCTTTATACAGAGGAAGGGGAGTGGGAGGGGCCCACTGCGATGCCAACCAATGGCTGACTGGGACTGCTAACGGTAGCCTTCTAAGGGTTGCTCCCTAATGGCTGCTCACCAACGGTGGTCTGCTTCCGGGAGGGGCCCGCTGTGACCAATGGCCGACCAATGGCTAAGCGGGACTGCTACCAGTCACTGCTAACAACCCCACACCTGCCCCGCCTCTATTATACCCCAATCATGTATTAGTCATTCCTCCCAACAGCCTTAATAGATGTCCATCCCCATTTTAAAACAGGGTCCAGAGCATAAGTGCACTACTAACTTGCCCAAGGTCACAGAAAAAAAATACAAAAAACACACAACTATTGTCAAAACTGTGGTTCCCAGTCCTCATTGTATTTGGCCTGTCAGCAGCATTTGAAACAGTGAACATCCCTTCTTTAAACAAGACCTTCCCTTGGCTTCTGGAATACAACTCTCTCTTGATTCTCTGTAACTCACTGGTTGCACCAGGGTCTTGTTTACTGGCTCTTCCTCTTCTTCCTGACAGCTAGATAGATGTTGGAACACTCTCAGGCTTACTTCTCTGAACTTTTGTTTCCCTCCTCATCTACATCCCCTCCCTGTGTGTCATGTATATCCCTTTCCTATTCTCTGAATTCCAGGCTCTATATCCAACTGCTCAGTTCCATCTCTACTTGATTGCCTAACTAATCACAACAAAACTGGAGAAACAAACTCTTGATTTGTACCCTGCTTGTCCTAGATCTCAGTAAAGTGCCATTTCATTCTTTCATTTGCACAAGCTAAACAAAAGCATTAAATCATTCGTGACTCCTATTTTTCTCTCACTCTCCCCTCAGGCTATGGATAGCAAATCCTATTGACAATATTTCTCCCCATCTTTTCATACCGTCTTTCTCTTATTGCATCAACTCAGGTATTATGTAATTCTTTGTGAAGTCATTCATTTATACTTGTTACCTGAGAGTTGGTTAGTCTAGAATCAGTGAATGGGCTAGAGCCTGGGACAGAAATGATTTGTTTTGCTCTACATTTTTCTTGCTCCCTTAAAAGGAAGAGAAGAAAAAAAGGAGAGTGGCAACCATCAAAACACCTTCCTCTCTGCTCATCAAAATTAATTCAGTTCACTGCCACATTAGGCCAAATAAAGATTGGCATAAGAGTAGTTACGAATTTCAAGCACTCAGCCTATAGGATTTCTACTTCTATGCCACCTCTTATCAATCTCGTTTATTAATAATGCTACTGTATTTTATTTATCTTTGTGCTTTACAATTATTATAACAGCAAAATTTATATTAATTTCTACTCTTAAAATTAAACTTTTTGTCACACGAGGTAATTGTCAGTATTCTTGAATCTGGTTATGGAACGGGTATATAGAAAACAACAACTGCTTATGTTTGAACCCAGGAGTAATGGAATTAGAGATTGGTTATTTGAAAATTAGTTGCTTTTTAACATCTCAAGTAGATACTTTTTTTCTGCCCTTTGGCCTCCTCTCTCCCCCTCTACTATGCATTGTGTATCTGCATTAGGCATCAACCAAACCTCCCCCATGGGTAGAAATACTTGCTCAACCATAAAGAGCAACATTCTCCTAGCATCAACAAGTCAACTCCTTAAAAGATAACATTCTTTCTTGATCTTGTAAGGGGCCACGATGATGCTTAGATCTAGATTGTGTAAACTGTCAATAATACATCATTTAATGTGTAGCCCTCTGTAGCAACAAACTTATATAACTGTGCCTTGATTTCTAACGGGCAGAACAGTTCTCGGAGTTTTCTTTTTCTTTTTTTTTTTTAATAGATTTTTGTTGTTGTGGTTTTATAAATTTGTTTTTTTTATTTTTGGCTGTGTGGGTCTTCATTGCTGCATGCGGGCTTCCTCTAGTTGTGGCAAGTGGGGGCTACTCTTCTTTGAGGTGCGTGGGCTTCTCATTGTGGTTGCTTCTCTTGTTGCAGAGAATGGGCTCTAGGCATGCGGGCTTCAGTAGTTGTGGCACGTGGGCTCAGTAATTGTGGCTCCCAGGCTCTAGAGCGCAGGCTCAGTAGTGGTGGCTCACGGGCTTAGTTGCTCCGCGGCATGTGGGATCTTCCCGGACCAGGGCTCAAACCCGCATCCCCTGCACTGGCAGATGGATTCTTAACCACTGTGCCACCAGGGAAGTCCTCTCAGAGCTTTATGAGATGCTGTTCCTGGGCTATAATCATCAAATTTGGCTCAAAATTTTCCATTTCTTTCCTTTTTTTTCTTTTTGCTTTGTTTTATTTTATTTTTTAAATTTATTTTATTGAAATATGTTAATTTACAACATTGTGTTAGTTTCTGCTGTATAGCAAAGTGATTCAGTTATACATATGAATATAGATTCTTTTTCATATTCTTTTCCATTATGGTTTATTACAAGATACTGAATATAGTTCCCTGTGCTATACAGTAGGACCTTGGTGTTTATCCATTTGTTTCTTGATCTATTGATTAATTTTTCATCAACATTGAGATGTTCTTGAATTTCAGGACTTAGAAATTTTTATTACTCTTTATTGTAAAGTACACTGAATATTAACCAACTACCTTTACAATAAACAAATACAGTAACAGTAACTCACACTAACACAAAACATATTCCTAACAAGCCATTTTTTTTCTGTCTGGGGCAGTTTTAAAGTCACCTTTTCCCCCCACAAAAACAGAAATGTACTTATACAAAAGCCATCTTTTTAAACAAAGCTAATGATTCACAAAAAACCATGAATATAGTATGTAACTAGTTGATACACATCTAATAGATTTTGTTAAAATCAGTCTCATAGTAACATGTCTGAAGTGTTCTTTAGCAAAATATGTGAAGAGAAGACTTTATCAATGTCTAAAAAAGTGGGCCTTCTTTATAGACAATCTGGGAAATTATCATAAAATATTAAAATTTTCCTTATAATTTTTAAGACTAATTTTTCAAAAATACCCAGTTACAAATTTACTATCAGGTACACTACGTTGCACATTTAATGCCTTTTAAACTAATTATAAATGACAAATATAGTACCTGTGAATTCATTAATGTCTTCATAAAAATTAGAATTTGATTACAATTGAGAGGAAGATATGGTTTTTGATAGAATAGTAACTGTGGGATAATACAAACACAAAAATTTGTGAACCATTCCCTCAGATTACCTAGCAATGTTGGGAACAGTAGGTGGTCAATAAACCTCTAATGGATTGAATTTAAGACTCTTCACAGCCTTTCCCTACCTGATTTTCCAGCTTTGTTTCACGACGGCATCTTACACTATTCCAGAATACTTGCTGTTGTTGACATTACTCAGGAGCCTCAGATTCTATGCTTTTGCACATATCAGTCCCTGTATCTGGGATGCCCTCATCCTGATTTCTGACTTTGATATCCAACTCATTTGTGAAGATTAGCTCAAATGCCACTTTTTATAGGCAGCCTTCTCCAATATTTCTACGCTACCACATATACATACAGCTATGTATTACAGTTATTTGTATGTATATATATCCACTTTAAGCTCTTTGAGGGGAGAAACTTGTTTTGTTCATTGTTTGTCTCTTAGTACCTAGCACAACACCCTATAAATGTTCATTGAATTGATTGATTAAAGTGGAGATTTTTAAGTTTTTCTAAGGTTCATATCTTTTGCTAAAGATGATATGAATTTATGGAAGAAATATCTTTGGGAAATATGCTTTAGATCTTGTGC